CCATAATAAAGAGCTACTTGAAGAAATCGCTGTGCCGGCTGCTATGTCAACCCACGACTTAACACTGGCGACGAGGATGGGATGGATGGACATCAGAGCACAGCCAGATGCGGCCAGCCTCTGAACTGAGCTGAATCACTGAGCTGAATCACAGAGCGAAATCACTGAGCGAAATCACTGGGCAGAACCAATTCAGAGCTGACTGTTCTGGCTAGAGCACTGTGTTCCATCCATCGCCCTTCACGCCGGCATCGGAATCATGGCTTCACTTGTGCCTCTACCGCCGTTTGCGCCAGCCTCTGAATCATGGGACTCCTACCTCGCTCGGTTCGACTGCTACCTCCAAGCCAACGAGCTGACAGCAGTATCGAAGGATCGGAAGCGGGGCCTATTCCTCAGCCTCTGTGGGCCTGAGGTGTTTGAGACGGCCCGAGCGTTGGTTGCGCCTGAAGCAGTCCAGGCAACACCATGGGACACGATCCAAGAGAAGCTCCGCAACCACTACGCACCAAAGCCGTCCAAGATTGCTGCCCGCCATGCGTTCTACCACCGGAACCAGGCAGAGGGGGAGTCAATCAACAACTACACCACCGCCCTGCGACAGGCTGCAATGCACTGTGAGTTCCGAGACTTAGACGATGCCCTGATGGATCGAATCGTCTGCGGGGTCCGGGACATCCATCTGCAACGGCGCCTCCTAGCCAAGCCAGACCTCACGCTACAGAAAGCCATTGAGGAGGCTGTGGCCTCAGAAGCTGCTGAACGCTCCGCCCAGGAGATCCGCAAGTCCAGCAGCCCGCGTCTTGCTAGGGAGCCAGTTCCGGTGCATCATGAAGAGGCCAGCAGTGATGAGGCATCCTCCAGTGAAGACGATGACGTGCACCAGACAAAGCGGGAGCGCAGGAAGTTCCAACAGAAGTCCAAGGGCCAACCGGAATGTGCTGGCTGCGGAGGCAACCATTCCCGTGCCAAGTGTCGATTCAGAGACGCCATCTGTAGGAAGTGTTCCAGAAGGGGCCACATCGCTAAGGTCTGCCGATCGGCTCCGTCTGACACCCCCCCTTCATCGACTCGCAAGTCCAAGTCTTCACTCCAGTCTGCCAAGGAAAGTTGTTTCGCTCTCACCAACTGCCGCTGCCCGTCTGGAACCACGATTGGCCAAACCGACTCGCCTACGCGACGCAAGCTGAACGTCACGGTGCTCATTGAAGGAGCTCCATGTGACATGGAGATCGACACCGGGTCTGCCCTGTCCATCGTGTCATGGAGCACCATCAAAAGACTGGTACCCAGAGTGTCCAAAAGGCAACTCGACTCTCACCGCGTACACCTGAGAGACTACCAGGGAAACGACATTCCCGTGGTAGGCGTTGGCCGGTTCCGGATCGCTTTCAAGGATTTTTCGGGCCTGCTCCGGTTGGTGGTGGTCGAAGGTCAGCGGCCAAGCCTCCTAGGGCTAGACTGGTTTGATGCCCTCGGCCTGGAAGTCACCGGCATCAACTGCATCTCTAACGCAGAGACTGAGGGTCTGGTCAAAGACTTTGCCGAGGTTTTTGACGGCACCTTGGGCCAATATACAGGTACGCCCATCTCCTTTAGCCTTGATCCACAAGTCGCCCCCATCAAGCTAAAGCCACGCCGGGTTCCCTTTGCTCTCAAGGCTAAGGTGGACGAACAACTGGACAAACTGATCGCCCAAGGAGTTTTGGAGCCGGTTGACCACGCAAAGTGGGAAACCCCCATCGTCACGCCTGTCAAGCCAGATGGGTCGGTGAGAATCTGCGCTGACTACAAGTGCACGATCAACAAGGCACTTCAGCAGCACGCTTATCCGGTTCCTGTTGTCCAACACCTGCTGCATTCCCTGGGTGAGGGTAAGGTCTTCGCTAAGCTGGACCTTGCCCAAGCCTATCAACAACTGCCAGTCGATGATGCCACTGCTGAAGCCCAGACGATCGTCACCCACCGGGGGGCATTCCGTTGCCGCCGGTTGCAGTTCGGGGTGAGTGTGGCTCCTGGCATCTTCCAAAGCCTTATGGAGCGTCTCCTGCAAGGGCTTCCGGGCGTGGTACCATATTTTGATGACGTCTTGGTGTCTGCAGACTCACACCAGCAGCTGTTCGAGCGCCTCCGTGCCGTGCTGACCAGGTTCCAGGAGGCCGGGCTCAAGGTAAAGAGGGAGAAGTGCCAGATCGCCGTTCCACAGGTAGAGTTCCTGGGCTATCTTATCGATGCCTCCGGTCTTCATCCAACCACATCCAAGATCCGCGCTATCCAGCAGGCCCCCACCCCAAAGAACAAAACGGAGTTGCAGGCATTCCTGGGGCTGCTGAACTTTTATAACATGTTCCTGCCCCACAAAGCAACAGTGGCTGAGCCTCTTCACCGACTCCTTAGCACTAAGACGCCTTGGGCCTGGGGTCATCGGGAGACGGCGGCCTTCAACGCGGTCAAGGCTCTCCTTTCTTCAGACAGTGTGCTGGTACAGTACAGTGAATCCAGGCCGCTGGTCCTTGCCTGCGACGCCTCACCTTTTGGCATCGGTGCTGTCCTTAGTCACCGTTTTCCAGATGGAAGAGAAGCACCGCTCGCCTACTTTTCCAGGACTCTATCTCCGACGGAACGGAATTACAGCCAGCTCGACAAGGAGGCATTGGCACTTGTGGCTGGAGTGAAGAGGTTCCATGAATACCTCTATGGCAGGACTTTTGACCTCATCACTGACCACAAGCCGCTCCTGGGCCTCCTCGCCGGTGATCGTCCAACTCCACCGGTCCTCTCACCACGCATGCTGCGCTGGACTGTTTTCCTGGCTGCCTACCACTACCGGCTCATCCATCGCCCGGGGAAATCGATGGGCCATGCCGACGCCCTCAGCCGTTGCCCGCTTCCAGCATTTGTGGAAGACCCGGCTCCAGCTTCATCGCTCCTTCTGATTGAGGATCTTCCGGCAGCGCCTGTATCGGCTGCCACTGTGGCCTCCGCATCTGCCCAGGATCGCACCATCAGCCGGGTGCTCAACTGGGTGTGGAGGGGGTGGCCACAAGGGCCTTTTGCATCGGAGTTCCAGCCCTTCGCAACCAGACAACATGAACTCTCAGCTCATCGTGGCTGCCTGCTGTGGGGAGACCGCGTCGTGATTCCCCAGGGACTCCGTCAGCGCGTCCTGGAGGCTCTGCACGTTGGCCACCCGGGAATTGTCAAAATGAAGGCGTTGGCTCGGTGTTACGTCTGGTGGCCTAATATGGACGATGCCATCACTGCCTGGGTGTCCGCCTGTCAAGCGTGCCAGGAGTCGAGGCCTGCACCACCGGCAGCTAAGGGACACACCTGGGAGACACCAAAGACACCCTGGTCGAGGGTGCACATCGATCTGGCTGGCCCCTTTCACGGCCGGACCTTTATGGTAGTGGTGGACGCCTATTCCAAATGGCTGGAGGTCGCCCTGATGCCCTCCACCACTACCGAAGCTGTCATCCGGGTGCTGCGAGGCCTGTTTGCAACGCATGGGTGTCCTGATGTCCTTGTCTCTGACAACGGACCGCAGTTCACGTCAGGCACGTTTGAGCGGTATCTTTTGGGACTGGGCATCCGCCATGCCCTAACGGCACCCTTTCATCCATCCAGCAACGGGCAAGCGGAAAGAATGGTGCGCTCGACAAAAGAGGCACTGGCGCGCCTGGACCGGGGAGACTGGCATGAGCGGGTCGCCGAATACTTGTTCGTGCAACACATCACCCCTCATGCGGCCACAGGGAGGAGTCCTGCTGAACTGCTTATGGGCCGCCGCCTCAGGTCACCGCTCGACCGGCTACACCCAGACTTTGCCGTGGCTGAACCCCCAGGCTGTGCCAACGCACCACGGTCATTTGTCCCAGGAAACCAGGTCTTTGCCCGGAACTATGTGGGGGACATCCCTTGGGTGCCAGCCACAGTAGTGGGAGTCACTGGACCTCGCTCGTACCAGGTGGCACTCGAAGACGGACGCTTGTGGCGACGGCACATAGACCAGCTTAGGCGCAGGGTTGGGGACTTGGACACTACCGAGGCGCCCCCAACTGCGCTTGCGGCTCCAGAAGAGACACGTACAGATGGCGAGGCCCCACCTACACCTCCCTCACAAACTGCCAGCGTGGAGCCGAACCAAGCCGACTTAACACCCATATTTAACCTTGGAACTCCAAAAGGGAAAGCTTAAAAAATGTAATTTTTCTACAAGCAAATGTAGTTGTTATGTACTGAAGTTCTCACCCTAGGCCAGCAGGGGGATACTGTAGATAGTTTTCACTCAGGTCCACATATGCAAATAAGGGATTGAAAGTGACGTTCAGTGATTGGATAGTTACAGAAAGTGGTTACTGTCGCGTTCTAGTGGAGCTCTATATAAGCAGGCTGACTGAACCCTTCAGTTCCGTTCTGCTCTGGCCTGTGAATAAACAAGAGCTGTTTGAAGAATCGCTGTGTCGTCTGATATGTTCACCCACAACTTAACAGTAGTCTTTCTGTAAACAAGCCAAACACTTAAAATTCAAGGAACAGGCCAGGAATATCCCAGAGGTTTCCAGGCCCCCATGGAGCCTGTGGTTTAGAGCTTTGCCTGCATTAACCTCAGAGAGGGATGCATACGCAGCAGCCTTTTTCAAAGACAGTGGAAATGCGCAGCCATAAACACTCCTTTCCCCAAGCACCAAGATTAGCCTATGTCTCTAGACATTTGAGAGAAAGTGGTTCCGTGGGTGTCCCTTTTCCAAGATGGGGAAGGGTATCATGAGCATCTGCTTATCTACAGGGTCTGGTGGCTCCTCCTCTGAGACCTGCTTCAGAGGCAAAACTTGCTGTTGCCAAGCTCAATGGCAGGCATCTCCCTTAGGGAGATTTGTATGGGTGGCATACCGAAGCCTTTGTCATTTAGTGCTCACGCTTCAGGTCTGTGGCATTCATTTCTCAAGCATCTAGGCATGTGGGCTCAGACATAAGCTTACCACTATATACCAGTTGGAAACGTTTAACCAAATAAATGATTTTATTGGGAGAAAGGTGGGCAGAGAAGGGCTGCTGAACCCCAAAATCTGCACCAAGGAAAGTTACATTCAGCAACCTGTATAAATGCATAAATGGGGGGGGGAGCAAAATTTACCTTATTTTGCATAATTTATTCTGGTGCTGCAAGTCATAGGGAAGGTCTCCCCACAGCGGCTGGGATTTTTAATCAAACCAGACTAAGCTTCTGAGATTTCAATGGACATTTTCCACATCCTTAAGGGCTGAAAACTTGATCCCCTCACCTATGAGTAATACACAGATTCTTTTCCAGCTGAATTCCATGTCTGATGCCATATTCTATATGTTTTCTCTGCCAGAGCTCTAAGATCCACTCCAGCTGCTCTAAAGGTACTTGGCTGTTCACCAGGGGTGTGGGAAGGGGGGGCAGTGAGGGCAGCTCTCCCTGGGTGTCATCCCTGGGGGAGGGGTGACAAAATCCCCCCAGTGGTGATCCACTGCGCGGATCGCACCCCCTGGGCGGGATGCTCCGCCCCCTGGTGCACAGCATGTGCACTGCTCCGGCTGCCCGAGTGGCTCACTCCACCATCGCTCTTCACAGAAGCAGTCCCTGATTTTGTCTACAGCTAGTAGCAGATTAAATCATTTCATATAGTTCTGCCGAGTGCTGTCATCTCCTGAATCACAGTAAATTATTCCCTCTCTTGGTTGCTTCTGTGGGGGCTTGCTAAGAAATGGATCTTTTAGCCGTCTCCATTGTGCCAAAAACAGTCTCTTTGAGACTTTGAGCTTTCTTCCCCAATGATCATCTTCTTTTTAGGAAGTAGCAAATGGTGCCCAAGATGCCCAAGACCAACACCGACACGATCACCCAGACTGCAACCCAGCTGCGAGGCGCCTCTGCAATAATAGAAGACAGCACATTAGGTGATGGATGTAATGGGTGCCTGAATCCAGATTTCTGCATTGCAGGGGTTTGAGCTGGATGACTCTCGGCGTCCCTTCCAACTCTACCATTCTGATTCCAGGATGGAATTGGGCTGCAGAGGAAGAAGCGCTCAGTAAGTGGGGGACAAGCAGCGAGAAGGGCTTGTGCACTGGAAAACAGGCTGCTGCAACAGATGGACCCTGGGGCACAACCAGCCATGGATAAATTCTGCATGAGCCTGATTGAAACCAACAGGATGTAGGAAGTATGCAAGAGCCATACACAGTGCCTCACATTTCAGGTCTCCTGTTGAAAACAGTGGCAGTGGTTGCCAATTCAGGCAGCTGACCTTAGTGTATAAAGCCCTAAATGACTTCTGCCCCAAATATCTGAAAGAGTAACTCCTTTCCTATGCTGGTGTAGCATAACTTGTCTAGCTCATGTAGGCAGAACAAATCACTAATGAATTAAAGTTTGTCAACATATTCAAAAACAGCAAGGTAGTTTTACTTCCTGGGGGTTCTCTCCTTCCAGCCCAATCTCAGCATGTCCATTATTATTATTATTATTATTATTATTATTATTATTATTAGAAATGATATGCCACACTATACCCAGGGGGAGGTCTCAGGGCAGTTCACAGCATAAAATCAAGATATAAAACCACAAAATATATAATCAAAATAAAAACAACAACCCAATACCCGCCCCCAAAAAACCACATTTTAAAAGAGCATAGGATGTCAATCAAATCAACCAAAGGCCTGGTTAAAAAGGAACATTTTTGCTTGAAGACTAAAGGTGTATAATGAAGGCACCAGGCGAACTTCCCTGGGGAGAGCATTCCACAGACAGGGGGCCACTGCATAGAAGGCCAGTTCTTGTGTTGCCAGCCTCCAGACCTCTCAAAGAGGAGGCACATGAAGAAGGGCCTCAGAAGATGATCGCAGGGTCCAGGTAGGTTCATATTTAAAGAGGTTGTCCTTGAGCTATTACAGTCCTGAGCCATTTAAGGCTTTATAGGTCAAAACCAGCACTTTGAATTGGGCCTGGAAACTAATTGGTAGCCAGTGCAGTTGGACCAGAATGAGTGTAATATACTCAAACCATCTTGCTCTGGTGAGCAGCCTAGCCGTTCAATTCTGCACTAGCTGAAGTTTCCGAACTGTCTTCAGAAGCAGCCCTGTGTATAACACATTGCAGTAATCTAACCTTGAGGTTACCAGAACATAGACAACTGTAGTTAGGCCAGGGGTCTGCAACCTTTAAGACAAAAAGAGCCACTTGGACCCGTTTCCGAAGGGGAAAAAAACTGGGAGCCGCAAAACCATTGCGACATTTAAAGCATGTGCGCCGCTGCCCTCCGATCTGACAGCGGGCGGGAAGGTGACGTCGGGACGGTGCGTGACTAACGCATGCACCGCCCCCATGCAACGTCACAGCCAGTACAGCGCCTGCCACAGTGGGGAGTGTCGGGGCGCACAATGCGCCTCCTCCCCTCGCTAGTATCCGCCCCGGAGCCGTGGCAAAGGTGTAAAAGAGCCACATGCGGCTCCGGAGCCGCGGGTTGCAGACCCCTGAGTTAGGCTATTCCTGCCTGTCCAGGCAGGGGCGTAACTGGCCCACCAGCCGAAGCTGATGAAAGGCACTCCGGGCCCCTGAGGCCCCCAGAGCCTCAAGCGACAGCAAAGGATCCAAGAATACCCCCAAGTTATGTACCCACTTCTTCAGAGGAAGTGTAACCCCATCAAGAGCAGGCGACCTCCCAGCATCCGGTCTAGGGAGCCACCCACTAACAGTGCCTCAGTCTTATCTGGATTGAGCTTCAGTTTGTTGGTTCCATTACTGAGGCAAGAGGATGGATGGCGGCTAATGGATTGAGGTTGAATCCTGACAAGACAGAAGTACTGTTTTTGGGGGACGGGGACGGGTGAGTATGGAGGGCTCCCTGGTCCTGAATGGGGTAACTGTGCCCCTGAAGGACCAGGTGCACAGCCTGGGAGTCGTTTTGGACTCACAGCTGTCCATGGAGGCGCAGGTCCATTCTGTGTCCAGGGCAGCTGTCTACCAACTCCATCTGGTATGCAGGCTGAGACCCTACCTGCCCGCGGACTGTCTCGTCAGAGTGGTGCATGCTCTGGTTATCTCCCACTTTGACTACTGCAATGCACTCTACGTGGGGCTACCTTTGAAGGTGACCTGGAAACTACAACTAATCCAGAATGCTACAGCTAGACTGGTGACTGGGAGTGGCCGCTGAGACCAGATAACACCGGTCCTGAAAGACCTACATTGGCTCCCAGTATGTTTCCGAGCACAACTCCAAGTGTTGGTGCTGACCTTTAAAGCCCTAAACGGCCTCAGTCCAGTCTCCACCCCCATCGTTCTGCCCGGACGCTGAGGTCCAGTGCCGAAGGCCTTCTGGCGGTTCCCTCACTGCGAGAAGCAAAGCTACAGGGAACCAGGCAGAGGGCCTTCTCGGTAGTGGCACCTGCCCTGTGGAACGCCCTCCCATCAGATGTCAAAGAGATAAACAACTACCTGACATTTATAAGACATCTGAAGGCAGCCCTGTTTAGAGAAGTTTTTAATGTTTGACATTTTAATGTGTTTTTAATCTTTGTTGGAAGCTGCCTTTAGTGGCTGGGGAGACCCAGCCAGATGGGTGGGGTACAAATAATAAATTATTACTATTACTACTACTACTACTACTACTACTACTACACTGGTCCAGCACTTCCACTGCCTCACCTGCAGATGTAAAGGAGAAGCAGGGGTGAGTGTCATCCGCATGCTGCTGACAACATACTCCAAACCTCTGGATAACCCCACCCAGCAGTTTCATGTAGATGTTAAACAACATGGGGGATAGGACTGAGCCCTGCAGAACCCCACATTGAAGTTTCCACAGAGCTGGAAAGCATTCCCCAAGCAACACCCTCTGGGAATGACCATCTAAGTAGGACTGGAACCACTGCAAAGCAGTGCCACCTACCCCTAGTTCAGACAGCCGCTCTAGAAGGATACCATGGTCGATGGTATTGAAAGCCGCTGAGAGGTTGAGAACAATTAACAGGGACATGTTTCCCTTGTCTCTCTCTCGACAGATAGGGTGACCAAAGGGTGGTCATATAGGGTGACCAAAGCTGTTTCTGTGCCAAAACCAGGCCTAAACCCCATTTGAAATGGATCTAGAAAATCAGTTCCTTCCAAAAGTGCCTGGATCTGGTCTGCGACCACTCGCTCCAGAACCTTGCCCAGGAAAGGGAGATTAGCAACTGGCCAGTAGTTAGTTAGGTTTTCCGAATCCAGGGAAGGTTTCTTAAGGAGTGGTTTTACCACTGCCTCCTTCAAACAGGCAGGGACCTCCCCCTCTTGTAAAGAGGCACTGATCACCTCCCTGGCCCAGCCAGCTGTTCCCTCCCTGATGGTTTTTATCAGCCAGGGGGGGCAAGGGTCCAGAGTGCAAGTGGTCGCCCTGACTAATCTGAGCACCTTGTCCACATCCTCGAGCCTTACCAACTGAAACTCAGCCAACACAACAGGACTAGACTGTGTTCTGGACATCCCATGAGATTCATCTGCTATAACAGCAGAGTCAAGGTCTTGGTGAATAAAATGTGCAATTTTATCTTCAAAATGTTACCGTCAGTTCTATTATCTCCTTTGGGTCAGCCTGGAAAAGCTCTGCCATAATGAGGATGCAATGGAGGCAGCAAAGTACCGCATTTTTCGCTCTATAAGACACACTTTTCCCCCTCCAAAAATGAAGGGAAAATGTGTGTGCGTCCTATGGAGCAAATGCAGGCTTTCGCTGAAGCCTGGAGAGCGAGAGGGGTCGGTGCGCACTGACCCCTCTCGCTCTCCAGGCTTCGGGCTGCTATCCGCAAGCCTGGGGAGCCCGGTGGGAGTTCCCACCGCGCTGAGCAGTGCGCCCCGGGCTTCGGGCTGCTATCCGCAAGCCTGGGGAGCCTGGCGGGAGCCCAAGCCATCCCAAGCCGGGCTCCCAAGGCTTGCGGATAGCAGCCTCCAAACCCGACCTGGTTTGGAGGCTGGCGGTGGGGAAAGCAGCGCTTCTCCCCACCGCCAGCCCCACAAGATCAGGGGACAGCGGGGGGGGGCGGAGCGCCGCCTTCCCGCTATTCCCCGACCTGGTCTTTGGGGCTGGCGGTGGGGGAAAGCAGCACTCCCCCCCGCCAGCCCCAAAGAGCAGGTCGAAAGGAACCCAAAGCCTCCAGAGCCCAGCGGGAACTCCCACTGGGCTCCGGAGGCTTTGGGTGAGCGCACCTTGAACGCACAGAATGCACCTTGACTTAGAGGGGGAGACTCCTATGGTGCGGTGCGTCCAATAGAGCGAAAAATACGGTATGTCTTCTTTGCTGCCTTCACTGCCACAAGGTAGGCTTCATAATGAGCCCTTACCAGTGTTTGGTTGCATTCATTTGGATCTTCCCTCCATTTGTGTTCAAGTCGTCTTCCAGCTTGTTTCCTCGCCCTAAGACCAGTTGGGCTCCACGAAGTGGGAGAGGGTGCTCAGGGGAGTTTGTGTCAATAGCCCGAGCCATTCGGGTGTTCCAGAGGTCAGCCGGGGCTTTGACAGGGGCACCAGTCATATCAGCCGGAAAAACCCCCAGAGCCACTGGGAATCCCACTGGATCCATCAGCCTCCAAGGGCGGACCTTCCTAATAGGTCCCCCACCTCTGCAGAGGGAAAAGGTGCTGGCATCCTAAATCTCAACAGGAAGTGATCTGAACATGACAGGGGACTGATGCCGATGTCGTCCCCCCCATCACCATCTTCCTGCCCAGTCGAGAAAACAAGGTCCAGAGTGTGGCCTGCCATGGGCGTTGGGCCGGTGGCATGGTGGGACAGCCTCCTGGTTGTCATGGCTGCCATGAGGTCCTGAGCCGCCCCAGAGCCAACTGCCTTGGCATGGATGTTGAAGTCTCCCAGAACCACCTAAAAGTAGGGCCCATGTGCCCAGGAATCATAGGACCAGCTAGTAGTCAGGCTTCATGTGCCTTTGTGCCCAGGAGATCAAAGGACCCGCTGGGAGGGCAGAGTTAGTGCAGGGCCTGAAGATGCTTCATGGAGAAGCTCCCAACAATTCCTCACACGCGTACCCTCCAAGTGTCCCAATTTTATGGAGGCAGTCCTGGAATTACCATCCCGGCTTTTGTTTTGATCCCGGAATGTCCTGGAATGTCCCTATTAACCCCCACCAGCACCAAGCTTGAGGAGGAGGAGGAGCTTGTCTCCAGTGATGACGATGGTGGCAGTGGCAGCTGTGAGGGAGCATCCCGTTGCCTCTCCATGCCCATCGCTGCCAGCCTCCTCCTTTGGGCAACTCATAGCAGCTGCTGGAGAGCAGGCGAGGAGGAGGAGGAGAGGCTGCCACCACCAAGGCCCAGCCCCATGGGACGTGCAGGCTCTGAGGTGCAGGCAGAGCCCTGCCCTCCTGGGAGGGGAAGAAAGGGGGGAGCAGAACGCAATTGGTCTGGATTTAAAAAAAAATGTTTTGTGCATCTACATCTAATTTTGCCCCTTTCTAAAATGTATTTATGGCTGTGTGTTTTTCTTTTTGTAAATCTACCAAAGAATAAAATAATATAAAACAAAATTGGGATTAAGGTGTTTTCTCAGGAGGGTGAAGGGCCTGTGCGCTGTGTCCTGTTGGTGTAGCCGTGCTGGCCCTTGCCTTTCTTCTGACAGGAAATGGGGGGGGGTCAAGTCCAGTCAGTTGGGGAGGAGTGGGAAATGTCCCTATTTTCATCTGAGGAATGTTGGAGGCCCACAGGGCAGCAATGCACAGATTCTGCACTGCCTCACACCACCTCAGAGTGATGCAGCTGAAGAGATGGCATTAGGATGCATCCACATGAAGCTGTTTAAACAATACGTCTTCAGCTGAATGTATTTTCTTTTATGGAAAATTATCCTTAACTTCCAGTTTGGTACTTGAACATTCCTTGCAAAGGTTCCCCCTTTCTTTCCATTTATATCAGCCTCAACTGTGGAGGAGTATTGAAGTGCAGCCCCTCACCTTTGAAATTTTCTTAGTCTTATCAAATCTGAATTGATCTCCTGTCAGATCCCCCAAATAGTTCTCCACGCATCATGACTTCAATTTCTCTTTCAGGATCATATACAGTGGTACCTCGGGTTACGAACAGTCCTGCTTACAAACGCTTCGGGTTACGAAATCCATATACCCGGAAGTAGGTGTCCCGGGTTGCGAACTTTGCCTCGGGATACGAACGCAATCCGCTTCCGGGGCCGTGGGAGGCCTATATAGGGAATGCGCGCTTCAGGTCAATAATGCTTCGGGTTAAGAACAGACTTCCAGAACGAATTAAGTTTGTAACCCAAGGTACCACTGTATGGTGAAATTTCAATTCCTAGTCTCCTGAGAAACCAATAACTTGAGATTCTTTGAGATGGGTGTGTATTTTAGGATGGATGGTTCTCATCCTGTACAAGTTTTCACCAGAGTCTACACAGTTTTCATTGGCATCACAATAGCAGCTCATATTCTTCCCTCATTTAATCTGAGTTTACCCATTCTGGGGGAAATTAAATGAGTTAAAAAAGCAACAACGACTGGTATCAATGGCCCATTTGTGACATTTCAATGACCCATTTGCAAATTAAGTCTCATCCTGGAAGCACCCTTGGATGAGGAAGGACGTCGAGAAAGTGCTACGCTGTGGGAAGGGGGAGACTGGAAAGAAAGTCATATGCAACCCTACCTTCATACAGAATGTCAACCTCTGTTGAGCCATTGCCATAGACATTATGTACTAGACATCGGTAAGTCCCATTGTGGTATTTTTGCGCTGAAGGGATTGTGATGGTCTTATTGTTATCTGAGTACTCCACGCCAGTCTGGGAGGGGAGATCCCATGAAAACTCTGGAAAGGGCTTTCCCTCTGCATGGCACTTCACCACAAGGGCTGCACCAGTTTTGTACACCGTGAAATTTGTTGAGATGTTCACATTGTATGGACTGGCTGCAATAAGAAAAAAAATGGTTGATGAGTTGCAGGAGCCATCAGCCACCTGCAAACGATATACAAATGGTCCTTGCTTTACTATGAACACTTTTTAACCACTACAACTTCATGGTGAGTACTGGTACCTATTCCCCCCCCCAAAAGACACTGCCAAATTCCATGGGCATAGCTGGGGGGGCAGGGAGGGGCAGCTGCCTCCCCTAAATCAATAAAGATCAATAGTAATACATAGGTAGCTGAGGTTCTCCCCCCCCCCAACAAAAACCCTGGCCACGCCCCTGGCCAACCCTATGCAATAACATGCCCTTGAAGCACCAACAGCAATGTGCTTCCATCATTTATAGAATACTTTTTTATTTACACTGGTCTTAGGGGCCCAATAAGATTTAATGGGGAACAATAGTTAGTGGTGGGTGCTTTATTATTTATTGTTTAATGGACTGGCTTAAATGAATTTGTATTTCAGCTGGTTGTAAATTGGGTGGCATATAAATGCGTTTTAACACGTAAATAAATAAAATACTCGGCTACAGAAGTATCCTAAGCCCTCTAAGCTAGAATAAATTGTTAGATACATGTGTGCTTAAATTACTTCCAAACCGGCCCTCCCAGCCCTGAACACGTGGCAAAACCAATCAGATGCATAGCAAATAGAACTTACCCACAATCTTCAAGGTTCTGTTTGCACTTTTTTGCAGTACTTCTGAGCCCACCTGGAGGTTAGCATCGCAGAGAATGACATCCCCATCCTCCTGAGGCTTAGCCAAAAAGCTGTACTCCACAGAGATGCTGCGCTCCCACTTCAGGATATTACTGCCCTTTTTCAGGAAGATGCTGACATTAGATGGGGAGCTGGAACCTCTCACTTTCAAACTCGGGATGCTGCATACAATTTTCTCCCAGTGATTAGCCACAATCTTGGAAGTAAGGTTGAGAACTGGGGTTGAGAACTCTGGGGGGAAATAAAGATATGAATGGCCACCATCTGAAATGGTAAGTGAGGACTAACTAGTAAAGAGGCCTAGGAAATCTACAGCTCCTGGCTTTCTGAAGTTGGAAATGTTAACCATCCCAGTTGTTTAAAATAAATATAGACAATAATTTCAGGGCAATGGGAGGGAAAACTCTGCATGACAACTGAGCATCCTAACCTAATCAAATAATGGTGGACAAGGATGAGCTCCTATTGGTTGGTTGGTTGGTTGGTTGGTTGGTTGATTGATTGACTGATTGATTGATTGATTGATTGATTGACTGATTGCTCTTATATACTGATTTTCAGGGCAAAGGCATTCAAAGGAAGTTTACAAAAGATAATTTATGTACAATAGAAGGATATAAACACAAGTATCAAAGGCTTCTTTTGAAAGTTCAGTTTGTTTTCAATAAAATATTTTCTTTATAGGAAACCACTACTCAAAAGTTCAGCCCAAGCCATCCTGTTGTTCCAGAGGTTGGCCAAGGCTTTGACAGGAACGCCAGTCATATCCTCCAGAGCTGTCTGGAAACTACATGGATCCCACAACCTCTGAAGGTGGGTCCCCTGCCTCTACAGAGGGGGAAAGATGCTAAAAGCCTAAAACTCAACAAGAAATGATCTGACCACTTTCAGATCACCCTCTTCCTGCCCAGTCGAAAAGACAAGATTCAGAGTGTGACCTATGATGTGCGTTGGGCTGATGTTATACTGTGACAGCCCCATGGTTGTCATGGCAGACAGGAAGTCCTGAGCATCCTGAAGCAGTGGCATAGCATGGAGGGGGCACGACCAGGCAGCCCCCCCCCCCATGGCAGGCTCCCTCATTGTGATGGCCCAACACCGCCAGCCACCACAGCTCCACTACCGGATCAGACCTGACCCAGGAGTGGATTTGCCACCCCTCTTCTTGGCTGGGCACAAGGATGCCCCCCCACGCTCCACTTTGCGAGAAAAGATGCAGCAAGCTCCCTCCACACTCCACCCCAGGCAGTGGTAGCATATGCTTTGCCACTGCCCTTAAGTTATGTTAAAGTGCTCCCAGAAGGTGTTTTGTTGTAAGATTGGTGTTGCTAATACTACATGCAGCATGATTTTTGTAGAGCAGAGGAGCCGCTAAGATCATGTGCCCCAACCACCAAAATGTCTTGGGCGGGTCTTGAGTTTCCCTCCCTCTTTCCTCAGGCCTCACAGCCATGTTATGCAGCATACCATGTCTAATAACATGTGTACTCTGCAATTTTGTTTTAGGGTAGTGGGATGACATGGAAACATGGGACCTATTTCCCCCCTCGACATTATGTGTGTGAGGAAGGAGGCTAAATTACATAACCTCCAGATGCCTCCCCGCCGTGAAATTCTGTGCATACTCACGGTAAACATAGATGACCACATTGGTGTCTAAGGAATCAAAGCCTTTTCTTTGGACTATGCATATAGGTTGAAGTTCCCATTCAGACACATTGGTGATGTTTAGGGAAATCCACCCATCGCCCTTCTGCATTCCTCCTCCAACAGACACCTCCCAGTCCAACTGGGTGTAGTTAGCACACGTAGTTGTGCAGTTCAGATTCACAGAACCTCCAAATTCCACAGCAGGTGCCTCAGGGTGGATAGTCACATTGCAAGTGTCAAGGAAGTGCACTGTAAGAAAGAAAGAAAAGATATGGGGAGGACCGGCTGCAGAGAATACTGCTAGCAATCGCAGCATTATTCAGCAAGAACGTGTTGCAATATGATGCAGTCACCATTCCTGGGCCATAGCTATTTCCCATTCTTAATATTTTTTATGAAATTTCTCTACTGCCCTTCATTCTAGGTTCACAGAGTGGTTTACAATATAAAAACACAAAAATACATACCACTATAACAAAAACAATCACCCACACACAGGGTCAGACTACATGACCCTTGGTGTCCCTCCCAACTTTACATTTCTATAATTCTATTATTCTAAAAGGCCATAGATTATTTAATTAGCCAAAAGTCTGAGAGAAGAGAAATTATTTAAGAGTATATTTGTTTGAGGGTTTGTAGGAAGTTGGGGCCAAATTTCATGCTAGTTAATACTGCTAATAGATACTTCCATTCTAAGCAATCAAAGGCTTTAAGGATGTCTAGGGACATGATGGTCGGGAGTTTGGTCTTTCTACTGTATTCTATCAGAGTGGGTAATTTCCTCATGGGGTCTGGTAGGTTGTGACCAGGGACAAAGCCTGCCTAGTCCAAGGCAATTCATTTGTGTAGGAAGATTTTTAGGCGGTTAACCAAGTTTGATGTGGACTTCTTAGTCTTGGTTTATCAATGAGATTGGGCAGTATGATTCTGTTTTTATTTTTTTGAATTTTTTTTGAATTTTTGTCAATAGAAATTTACATTCAGAAAATTTGTATAATCATTTTGTGAGATTCTCTGAATTCTGTGACTTCACCCCATCCCCTACCTGGTTCCTTATTTCAATAATTAAGACTACATATCAATACGTTCTCCACTATTTTTATTTTTCCAAATTGTCCATAATCTTTGTTACTTTACAAGTGATTCTTATAGCAAAAGTTTTGATTTGCTTGCAGTGGTCTCCTAAGTAAATTATAATTTTCCCCCCATTCCTTTTTGAAGTCCTTGTCTTCTTGGTTCCTGAGTCTCCCGGTTAGTTTTGCCATTTCAGCAAAGTCCAGCAGTTTGGATTGCCATTCTTCCCTCATCGGGGTTGTTGCTTCCTTCCATTTTTGGGCTAGTAGCATCCGTGTTCTCGCATGCATGAAAACTCTTTTCTGGTCTTTTGGAATCTCGGTACCTGTAATTCCTAATAAAAAGGCTTCTGGGTTTTTTTAGCAGAAGTTATTTTAAACATATTTTTTTTAGTTCATTGTATACCATTTCCCCCAAAGATTTTGTTGTCTTGCATGTCCACCACATATGAGAAAGTTACCTTCCTTTTCCGTACATTTCCAACAAATATTTGAACTTGTTTTATACATTTGGGTAGTTCAGTAGTAGTTAAGTACCATCGATAAATCATTTTCATATAATCTTCTTTCAGCGTACAACATGCTGTGAATTTTAAATCTATTTTCCAGAGCCTTTCCCAATCTGCCATTTGTATATTATATCCCTTAGCCCAGTTTATTATAACCAGTTTAACCTGTTCATCTTTTGTATGCCATTCCAGGAGCAAATTATAGGTTTTTGACAGAATTTTGGTAATACTTTCTAATTTTTATATCTCGTAACTAAAACCTTTCTTTTTATCTATATTAAAAGTATCATTTAGTTGATAATACTGTAACTAATCAGTTACAGCTTTCTTTATCTCTTCAAAGTCTTTTAATTTTAACTGGTTGTCTATTTCGGTTAGCAGCTCTTTTTATAAGTCGGCCAATTGCTTCTCATATTCACTTTTTTCAGAGATATTGCTTTCAAAGGGAAAAGCCACAAGGGTGTTTTTTGCTCAAATAGGTTTTTATTCTTCTCCCATATCCTGAAAATTTATTTTCTTATTATATGATTCTGAAATGCATTATGTACTTTTGCTTTTTTCATGCCATAAATATGCATGCCATCCAAATCTGTTATTGTTATGTAGTGTAGTTTCACCCTGGGCCAACAGGGGGATACTGTATATAGTTTTCACTCAGGTCTGTAGATAGTTTTCACTCAGGTCCGCGGCAGTTATTTTAGGCGGGAACTCTGGGCTGTTGTGGTTACAATGTGACAGCCGGCTGCCTATAAATACAGGCCGGCTGAGCTGTCGCAGTCAGTTGTATTCCAGCTTACCATAATAAAGAGCTACTTGAAGAAATCGCTGTGCCGGCTGCTATGTCAACCCACGACTTAACACTGGCGACGAAGGTGGGATTGATGGACATCAGAGCACAGCCAGATGCGGCCAGCCTCTGAACTGAGCTGAATCACTGAGCTGAATCACAGAGCGAAATCACTGAGCGAAATCACTGGGCAGAACCAATTCAGAGCTGACTGTTCTGGCTAGAGCACTGTGTTCCATCCATCGCCCTTCACGCCGGCATCGGAATCATGGCTTCACTTGTGCCTCTACCGCCGTTTGCGCCAGCCTCTGAATCGTGGGACTCCTACCTCGCTCGGTTCGACTGCTACCTCCAAGCCAACGAGCTGACAGCAGTATCAAAGGATCGGAAGCGGGGCCTATTCCTCAGCCTCTGTGGGCCTGAGGTGTTTGAGACGGCCCGAGCGTTGGTTGCGCCTGAAGCAGTCCAGGCAACACCATGGGACACGATCCAAGAGAAGCTCCGCAACCACTACGCACCAAAGCCGTCCAAGATTGCTGCCCGCCATGCGTTCTACCACCGGAACCAGGCAGAGGGGGAGTCAATCAACAACTACACCACCGCCCTGCGACAGGCTGCAATGCACTGTGAGTTCCGAGACTTAGACGATGCCCTGATGGATCGAATCGTCTGCGGGGTCCGGGACATCCATCTGCAACGGCGCCTCCTAGCCAAGCCAGACCTCACGCTACAGAAAGCCATTGAGGAGGCTGTGGCCTCAGAAGCTGCTGAACGCTCCGCCCAGGAGATCCGCAAGTCCAGCAGCCCGCGTCTTGCTAGGGAGCCAGTTCCAGTGCATCATGAAGAGGCCAGCAGTGATGAGGCATCCTCCAGTGAAGACGATGACGTGCACCAGACAAAGCGGGAGCGCAGGAAGTTCCAACAGAAGTCCAAGGGCCAACCGGAATGTGCTGGCTGCGGAGGCAACCATTCCCGTGCCAAGTGTCGATTCAGAGACGCCATCTGTAGGAAGTGTTCCAGAAGGGGCCACATCGCTAAGGTCTGCCGATCGGCTCCGTCTGACACCCCCCCTTCATCGACTCGCAAGTCCAAGTCTTCACTCCAGTCTGCCAAGGAAAGTTGTTTCGCTCTCACCAACTGCCGCGGACCTCGCTCTCACCAACTGCCGCTGCCCGTCTGGAACCACGATTGGCCAAACCGACTCGCCTACGCGACGCAAGCTGAACGTCACGGTGCTCATTGAAGGAGCTCCATGTGACATGGAGATCGACACCGGGTCTGCCCTGTCCATCGTGTCATGGAGCACCATCAAAAGACTGGTACCCAGAGTGTCCAAAAGGCAACTCGACTCTCACCGCGTACACCTGAGAGACTACCAGGGAAACGACATTCCCGTGGTAGGCGTTGGCCGGTTCCGGATCGCTTTCAAGGATTTTTCGGGCCTGCTCCGGTTGGTGGTGGTCGAAGGTCAGCGGCCAAGCCTCCTAGGGCTAGACTGGTTTGATGCCCTCGGCCTGGAAGTCACCGGCATCAACTGCATCTCTAACGCAGAGACTGAGGGTCTGGTCAAAGACTTTGCCGAGGTTTTTGACGGCACCTTGGGCCAATATACAGGTACGCCCATCTCCTTTAGCCTTGATCCACAAGTCGCCCCCATCAAGCTAAAGCCACGCCGGGTTCCCTTTGCTCTCAAGGCTAAGGTGGACGAACAACTGGACAAACTGATCGCCCAAGGAGTTTTGGAGCCGGTTGACCACGCAAAGTGGGAAACCCCCATCGTCACGCCTGTCAAGCCAGATGGGTCGGTGAGAATCTGCGCTGACTACAAGTGCACGATCAACAAGGCACTTCAGCAGCACGCTTATCCGGTTCCTGTTGTCCAACACCTGCTGCATTCCCTGGGTGAGGGTAAGGTCTTCGCTAAGCTGGACCTTGCCCAAGCCTATCAACAACTGCCAGTCGATGATGCCACTGCTGAAGCCCAGACGATCGTCACCCACCGGGGGGCTTTCCGTTGCCGCCGGTTGCAGTTCGGGGTGAGTGTGGCTCCTGGCATCTTCCAAAGCCTTATGGAGCATCTCCTGCAAGGGCTTCCGGGCGTGGTACCATATTTTGATGACGTCTTGGTGTCTGCAGACTCACACCAGCAGCTGTTCGAGCGCCTCCGTGCCGTGCTGACCAGGTTCCAGGAGGCCGGGCTCAAGGTAAAGAGGGAGAAGTGCCAGATCGCCGTTCCACAGGTAGAGTTCCTGGGCTATCTTATCGATGCCTCTGGTCTTCATCCAACCACATCCAAGATCCGCGCTATCCAGCAGGCCCCCACCCCAAAGAACAAAACGGAGTTGCAGGCATTCCTGGGGCTGCTGAACTTTTATAACATGTTCCTGCCCCACAAAGCCACAGTGGCTGAGCCTCTTCACCGACTCCTTAGCACTAAGACGCCTTGGGCCTGGGGTCATCGGGAGACGGCGGCCTTCAACGCGGTCAAGGCTCTCCTTTCTTCAGATAGTGTGCTGGTACAGTACAGTGAATCCAGGCCGCTGGTCCTTGCCTGCGACGCCTCACCTTTTGGCATCGGTGCTGTCCTTAGTCACCGTTTTCCAGATGGAAGAGAAGCACCGCTCGCCTACTTTTCCAGGACACTATCTCCGACGGAACGGAATTACAGCCAGCTCGACAAGGAGGCATTGGCACTTGTGGCTGGAGTGAAGAGGTTCCATGAATACCTCTATGGCAGGACTTTTGACCTCATCACTGACCACAAGCCACTCCTGGGCCTCCTCGCCGGTGATCGTCCAACTCCACCGGTCCTCTCACCACGCATGCTGCGATGGACTGTTTTCCTGGCTGCCTACCACTACCGGCTCATCCATCGCCCGGGGAAATCGATGGGCCATGCCGACGCCCTCAGCCGTTGCCCTCTTCCAGCATTTGTGGAAGACCCGGCTCCAGCTTCATCGCTCCTTCTGATTGAGGATCTTCCGGCAGCGCCTGTATCGGCTGCCACTGTGGCCTCCGCATCTGCCCAGGATCGCACCATCAGCCGGGTGCTCAACTGGGTGTGGAGGGGGTGGCCACAAGGGCCTTTTGCATCGGAGTTCCAGCCCTTCGCAACCAGACAACATGAACTCTCAGCTCATCGTGGCTGCCTGCTGTGGGGAGACCGCGTCGTGATTCCCCAGGGACTCCGTCAGCGCGTCCTGGAGGCTCTGCACGTTGGCCACCCGGGAATTGTCAAAATGAAGGCGTTGGCTCGGTGTTACGTCTGGTGGCCTAATATGGACGATGCCATCACTGCCTGGGTGTCCGCCTGTCAAGCGTGCCAGGAGTCGAGGCCTGCACCACCGGCAGCTAAGGGACACACCTGGGAGACGCCAAAGACACCCTGGTCGAGGGTGCACATCGATCTGGCTGGCCCCTTTCACGGCCGGACCTTTATGGTAGTGGTGGACGCCTATTCCAAATGGCTGGAGGTCGCACTGATGCCCTCCACCACTACCGAAGCTGTCATCCGGGTGCTGCGAGGCCTGTTTGCAACGCATGGGTGTCCTGATGTCCTTGTCTCTGACAACGGACCGCAGTTCACGTCAGGCACGTTTGAGCGGTATCTTTTGGGACTGGGCATCCGCCATGCCCTAACGGCACCCTTTCATCCATCCAGCAACGGGCAAGCGGAAAGAATGGTGCGCTCGACAAAAGAGGCACTGGCGCGCCTGGGCCGGGGAGACTGGCATGAGCGGGTCGCCGAATACTTGTTCGTGCAACACATCACCCCTCATGCGGCCACAGGGAGGAGTCCTGCTGAACTGCTTATGGGCCGCCGCCTCAGGTCACCGCTCGACCGGCTACACCCAGACTTTGCCGTGGCTGAACCCCCAGGCTGTGCCAACGCACCACGGTCATTTGTCCCAGGAAACCAGGTCTTTGCCCGGAACTATGTGGGGGACATCCCTTGGGTGCCAGCCACAGTAGTGGGAGTCACTGGACCTCGCTCGTACCAGGTGGCACTCGAAGACGGACGCTTGTGGCGACGGCACATAGACCAGCTTAGGCGCAGGGTTGGGGACTTGGACACTACCGAGGTGCCCCCAACTGCGCTTGTGGCTCCAGAAGAGACACGTACAGATGGCGAGGCCCCACCTACACCTCCCTCGCAAACTGCCAGCGTGGAGCCGAACCAAGCCGTTTCAGAACAGACTCAGACCACTCCACTTGCGGAGGCTCCACCCACAGCAGCGGATCCAGGGGAGTTGGTTCCAACGCCACCTAGGGTCGCACCACAGCCTCAGCGAGAACTGTGTGGCCCTCCGGACTTGGCTACCAGTTCCCGGCGGTCTGGCAGAGTTTCCAAGCGCCCAACTTATTTAAAGGACTATGTTGTTGGACAGGTATCACTGTTGGTCTAAGTATGGGAAATGTAACCGATATGCTTTTGTGCTTAATGGAACCATTACGCGTAGTGCTGTATATAAGGAAACCATTACGATTGTAACTAACGCCTTATCTCGGTGGGGAGGGGTGTTATGTAGTGTAGTTTCACCCTGGGCCAACAGGGGGATACTGTATATAGTTTTCACTCAGGTCTGTAGATAGTTTTCACTCAGGTCCGCGGCAGTTATTTTAGGCGGGAACTCTGGGCTGTTGTGGTTACAATGTGACAGCCGGCTGCCTATAAATACAGGCCGGCTGAGCTGTCGCAGTCAGTTGTATTCCAGCTTACCATAATAAAGAGCTACTTGAAGAAATCGCTGTGCCGGCTGCTATGTCAACCCACGACTTAACAGTTATCATGCCCTTCTAGAT